TTTCACTCCCTTGATTATGACAGAGAAAAATTGTCTTTTCACACATTAGTTAGCCATTGATATTTTCTTTTTGTGGGGATTTCCTCTTTCATTCTGTTTGTTAGGATATAGACTACGTAGCTGGCACAAGAGACTCAGATATATAATGGTTCAAATAAAATATTAATTTATTTCTCATTGGGTTGGGTTGTTCTGATCACCACAGTAACTTAGAGATCTAGATTGTATATTGTGTTGTTCCACAATTCCATGGTGTTGTTCTTACTGGGAATGACAAAACTGGATGACCTCCAATCTATGTTCAAGCCCTTAGTAAGGAAGAAAGAATGAGGGGAAAAAATTAAAGGCAAGTAATTTACTATTAAACAAGTGAAAAAGAAGTTGCACACATTGCTTCAGCTTACATTCTTTTGGCAAGAATTTAAGTTTCAGTGGTCACACCTAACTGCAAGAGAAGCTGTAAAATATATTCTCTAGCTGAGTGGCCATGTGCCCAGCTAAAAGTCTATTGCTGTGGAAGGAAGATAGAATGGATTTGGGGGTTCAACCAGCAGTCCAAAGCAAAATCCTTTGACCACATTTCTAGAGAAGTTCGTATCTTATATATTAAGGATTTTTTCCTCTGCCAGTTGTTGTAAATATTTTTCCAGTATGTTGTCTTTTAACTTTGCAGGAGTTTTTTTTTCCTATACAGTTTTAAATGTTTATGTAGACAAATCCAACAGTATTTAAATTTTTTTTTCTTGGCTTTGGTATTGTGCAGAGGTAGAGGTTATTCCTCATACACGCACACACACAAAATCCATATATTTTTTAGTATGTTTATAGATTTTGTTATACTCAAATCTTTGGAATTTGTTTTGATATAAGATATGAAATACTTTTTTCTTAAATGGTATTATATTTTCCCTTAATGGTGTTATTTCTCCTAAATAATGATTCATTTGTCCCAACACCATTTATTGAATCAAGTATTCTTTCTCCACTGAATTAAAGAGGCACGTTCATATACTAAACTCTCATTGTACTTGGATTCATTTCTGGACTCTCTCCTTTAATCAATTGAATCTTTTCTTATATTAGTACCATGTAGTTTTAATTATTGTATGATAATAATATAGTTTAATATCCTCCTTCATTACTCTTTTAAAAAATTTTTTTTGTTTTTCTTATGCATTTTTTCAAATAAATTTAAGCATCATTTGTTTCATCAAGTAAAAAAATTCCTTTCTGTCCACAATAACATTGTTTTTAAATTGATACTAATCCTTAGGCAATTTACTTTCTGGACAGCTTTTTGGTAAGTTTTATTGATCTATAGTCTACAAGTATCTTTAAGTTTTAGAGATATAATACTTGTGAGTTATACAATATGACAATATGACTTTTTGCTATTCAAGCTATTTTTAAAGCTCATATTCTTAAATATGCTAATAATCTAGAGAAATAGAAAATACCCTATATTATGTGATAGAACTTCAGATTTTGTTACAGTTCTAGTGACTGTTTCATGGGAGGTTCTCTGGCATATTTTGCAAGGGGAATGGCAGGAAATATGTTTTATGTTGATTCTTAAATTGTTTTGTTTGTTGAGCTTCCTTTAAAAGAAGTTGTATGAATGGGAGAGGATTGAGGAAGTCCCAAGGAGTTTAGAAGTTCTGCAAGAACAGAGAGGTTTTTATGAGAAATGTGTTTCTTTAGAGTCATAAAATTTCCACATAGCAGATTTTATTGTGTGTGATAAGACAGTGTGAACTATTTCCAGTCAAGCTGAGGTAATGTAATCTCTGTGGGCATGGACTCCGTGATATTTATCCAGAACCTCCCTAAATATTCCCCACCCTATCCCATTCTCATTAGACTTCTTAAAGGCACATTTTTGTAGCTGCCAAAACATATTATAACATGGGTTCGTAAATTGAATAGACAAACATTTATGTTATATTAAATGGCAACTACACAGCAAAGCAGTGCATTTTGACCATTTTAACAATTGATTTTATGAATGCAGATTTATTCAACAATTTTTAGGGTAATACTAATTAAGATGAAAAACAATAATTCTGAAATAGTCTCCTAGATTAATCGAAAAAGAGGCTTTTTAAAAGGTAAATAAGACATAATATGGATATAAAATATACCATTAGAGTTTGGTTTGAGCTAATTTCAATGATAAAGACTTTTTCAAATCTATTTTAGGGAAGCATCATAAAATAATGGAAAGAGCACAGACTTTGGAGTAACCTGGTTCCCAGGTCTAGTTTTAACATTTATCAGCTGTATGACTTAGGGCAAATTACTTAATCTTATTGAGCTTTAGTTTCCTCATCTATAAAATGGGAATAATAATCATTATCTCAGAATTATTTTGACCATTAAATGAGTTAACATAAAAAGCACTTATATGTGTGTCATGTATATGACACTCAGAATATGTCACTTCTAGTTTTAAAATTATAGGTAATATCTTTAAGTCCTTACCACATCCCTAGATAAGTGCACTACATGGATATCTCTCTTAATTCTTTCAACCTTTTGAGGTTGGTTTGGTCTCACTTTACAAATAAGGAAAGTGAGAGTGGGAGGATAGTTACACTATCATGTAATTATTAGTGGCAGAGCTGAGACCAAAACAAAGCCATTATTCTTAACCACTGTGACATACTGGTTCTGAACTGTAGTAACATACGTGTTAGAGACTCAGATCAGAACTTGAAAGACATTTGGAAGGAAAAATGGAAGAAAGGAAAACATGAACGAGAATTTCAGTAGAGGAAACTTGAAAAAAGCAGTGGGCATTTGGTAGATGGGGTTCTAATGAAAGATAGTAAAGGAAAATGGAATGTATGAGTCATTTAACGGGGACATTTCCTTTTGGCAACTGTACACTTGCTTTAAGCACAGAAAAGTCAATAGATTGCCGAAGAAACTGCCATAGCTTTAATGTATGAGTCTAAGGAGAATTTTTCCCATTTGGTTTGCTTTCTATGTATTATCTTTTTTCTTTCCATTGATTCTAGGTTAAGATATTTCAGATGCTGCTCTCTTATTCTCAGTTGACTCATATCTTAGACATATTTTCTGGATTAATATAGAGTAGCTTTTAAACCTCTGTTTTTATTAGTTTCCATGATTTGCTTATATCTTTTTTATGTCAGAATGCTATTCTCTAGTTTAAAATTGAACTGGAAGAAATTGTTGTTTTATATCTGGATGATAAATTGGAGTAATGTTGAAAAGTTCCACTTATTAAGTGTGGTGTCTCACTGCCTAAGATCAGCCTCCTCAAAATTTTTCTACAAATACTACTTTCTCTTTTTTTAACCATATATATATATATATAGTTATATATACACACACACGTATACATACATACACATACACACATATATGTATATGATTTTATATATATAATTCCTTTTCTCTCCTCCCTTTCTCTCTTATGAGGAAAGACTAAAGGCAGATAAGTTCTTTTCCCTCCTTATCTAAGATAAAGTTTCTTCTTAGGTACTAAACTTACGATTTAGTATCTAATACAATAAGTGCCTAGTTAAGAACAGGGAAACAAGGCAGAAGAACAGACTGAAGAAGGCACAGAGCACCCCATGTCATTCAGTGAGTTGCAGCCTAAATAGGAGCAGACCCTCTTGAGAGTCTTAACTATGGCTGCTGGAAACAAATATGAATGCGACTGCTTCTAAGGGAGAAATTGCAATCTTACCTTCAGCTAGTGGGCAGCCAGTATCAATATAATGCTGAGAAAGAATGCCAGGAAAAAAAGTTCTGCAGAATAGAAGGAAAGTTGAAGTCCAGTGAGGGGGAAATGCTACATTATACCCCTGAACTCTCCAGCTTTGAGGAGACCTGCTATGGGGATCTCCACATGAAGGAAATTGCTTACCTATTTCTGGCTGTTTTCCCCTCAATTTTTGACTGCTTTGCTCTGCAGCTATCTACTGATCCTTTTAGTAATAGATTTCATTTATTGAACTTGTACTATGTGCAGATCACTCTTCCATGTATTCTTTATATATTCTGTCTCACTCAGTAGCTTTCCTCTCTTCTCATGATTTTACTGGTCTTACTGACTTCTCTATGTGTTACGTAGATCCAAAAGGTCACACTGCCACCCCGAGCAGGAGGGAAATTGAGAAAGTGTGTATTTAGCTTTTTCAGCCTCTATAGTAGAGGCCACTAAAAAGGAACCTTGGGAATGGGTATGTCTGCTACATAAATCCTTTTGTTGTTGCCCTACTTTGCTTATTTGTATGCCTTTTCATTTATCTTTCTTATCACTCCAAATCTTTCTAAAGACATAAAAATTTTTTAAAAAATTAAAATTCTTTACTGTTATATTTAACATACGTATTGACATTTATTGAAATTTCATGAAAGAATAAATTGCAACTTAAGTTTTCAATATTGATTTGTATAGACTAACAGTTATCAAATTTTAGCCTTATAAAAGCAGTTATACAGAGGGAATGTTTACACATACTTTGGTATGTTCAGTTATATAGTACTATTTAGCATAAATATCATATACCGAAGAGATATAATCTTTTGTCGTTAATTTCCTTTGTTGCTATTTTAAGACAATATTATGGGTCTGATAGTTTATTTTACCTAAACTGCAGCTTTTAGTTACAGTTAAGTTGTTCTCCCAATTTATAAAGCAGTAGAATCATTCGATATAAGCAGTTGGAATAGCTTGTTCATTCAATATTTATTAAGTACTTGTTATGTGCTTGTGGGTATTGAGAAATCTAAGAATTGGTAGGGAACAGACTGTCTATGTTTCTGAAAGTAAAAGCAATTCCCGGCCTAAATAAATATCAAGCAAATATACATAGATAGGTGGGTGGGCAGATAGACGGATGCTGCATGTATAGATGGACAGACAGAGACAGAGATACCTACTAAAACCAAGATTAATATTATGATTAGTAGTGTTGCAATATTATATTGTCGAAAGTAAGTTCACTTTTTTAAAATTTAAGGCTGACAGATTTGCAATGGAACTAGAACAGAACCGGGATCTGAACAATACCATAGTACATGTTGACATGGATGCTTTCTATGCAGCTGTAGAAATGAGGGACAATCCAGAACTAAAGGATAAGCCCATTGCTGTAGGATCATCAAGTATGTTGGTAAGTAGGTAAAGATTAAAGACAAAAAGGAAATTTCATAACATATTCAAGTAAGCTTTACTGATTTATAAAGGGGGAAGACTTTATTGAAATCAACCAGTTTATGGAGAATTTTTCTGGTTGTTTTATGTGTGCAATAACTAAATCCTTTCAATATTCCTTTTCTCATGATTCTGTAATTTGAGTAGAGTATATAATGGGGATGGCAAATCTCTACCTGGGGTCGGCTAGGGCTATTTAGCTGGAGCTGGAGGATCCAAAATGGCTTCACTATCATGCCTGGCACTTTGCCTGACCGAGATGGCTAGAAGCCAGCTTTCCCTTCTCCTCATGGTACATTATTACTTAGTAATCTAACCCAAGATCTTTACATGGTTGCTGCATCCCAAAAATGTAAAGGCAGAGGCTGCAGACTTTGTGATGCCTAGGCTTCATAACTCACATAATGTCGCTCCCTCATATTCTTTTGGTCAAAGCATGTCACAAAGCAAGTCACTTGGCCTGGGGAACTAGAACCCATCTTTTGATAGGAGGAACTGTAAAATATTATGGCTATGATTCACAATCTACCACAAAACTAAAAGTTAAAGGAAGTCACATCTAAAATTTTGTTTCTACACTATTATAGATCTAGCTCATATCAATTTCATTACTTACTTATATTTAAAGCATTCATTTATCTTTCTAGTGCTGTCTGCATTTCCTTTTCTAGAATACTGACCAAGGATAGGCATGGTTTAGAGTACTATCAGATTTTTTAAATGCCATTCAAAAACCATTAATAGCAAATTGGTGTTATTATCCTGAAATAATTATTCCATTTGATAGATTCTGTTTTGCATTTTTTTGACTTTTTACTTGAGATTTCAAACAAAGATTTCATTTGTGATAAAAATTTTTATGTGGTACTGGGGTCTGCCACATTGACATAGACTTGTCAGGTATCAACAGGATTTAATAAGTAATGTTCTCTTTTTTACTCTCAGGTTTTTAGTTCCATGTCCTAGTTAAAATGTTTTCACTAAAAAAGATATTCAAGCCTTAAGAAGAAAACTTTATTTTTTAAAGTTCTTTTAATCTTTTATCACTTCATTTTGGAGACTTGATTTGGCTGACCGTATATGAGACCTTTGATTTTTATTCTAGATGAAAAATTTCTAAAATCCCAAATATAGCAAATTCCAAATCTATACTATTATACCATAATACCACTTTCTATACTATTACTAAACTCTTACTTTTAAGTAATATCACCCACTATCATCCAAACTTTGATATGTATGTAGTACTATATTATGGGTATGCTTTAAAACCAGTGAAGTTTAGTGACTGGAAATGTTAAGAGAACTTTTTATTAGCACAGTCTTGCTTATTCCCTGGTGTCACATTATAAATATGAGGACAGCAGTGAGAGAGGACATTTCTTTATCCTACCATGGCAGGATAAAATCAAAGCTTGATTCGAGACAGTGACCTATAAAAGAAATGTCCTTGAGTTGAAAATGCACACCAGTAATGTGTTTCTTGTGAATGCATCGATCAATATGTTCATTTAGGTTTCTATATTTTTTCCTATGTGGTCCATTTTCTTTCAGACTACTTCAAATTACCATGCAAGGAGGTTTGGAGTTCGTGCAGCCATGCCAGGATTTATTGCTAAAAGACTCTGCCCACAACTTATTATAATACCCCCAAACTTTGATAAATATCGAGCTGTGAGTAGAGAGGTAAGTCTGCTGTCTCACCCCTACTTTGAGTCTTTCACTGGCCTCCTGTCACCTACAAAGTTAAGTCCAAATGCCTTTACACATCAGAATTTGGCCTTAGCTTATTCCTTTACTCTCACCTCCTACCACTTCTGCAGTTTATAAATTGAATACTGAGTTGTAGATGGTATCCAGAATACACTCTTCTATTTCCCAGTTCTCTACTTTTCCACATGTTTTTTCATCTGCTTAGAAAACTCTGTTTCCCTAGAAAATGTTGCATTACCTTAATTATAACCTAAATTAACTTTAGCTATTTTTTTCTTAATGTGCAATATATGTTTTCTGAAATCACCTGATATTTATAATTTACAGAATCTACTCAAGTGATTAATTTCAACCTCTCTCTGAAACATTTTTTTTATGAATGTTTTTAAACAGTAACAAAATTCATTTATTTTGAGTAGATGCTTTCCTTGGCCCACAGTCTAGTAATGATGCTTACAAGTATTTAATGTCCAAGAGACTGGTAATCAAAGAAAAAAGAGAACAATCTATTGCTTAGAAAAAGACCTATGAAGTATAAAGTTTTGATTATTTAATAAAATTGCCTACTGTCATATATAAAAAACTGCCATTTTCTCTGTTTTTGATAACAACTAAACTATCATACCAGCGGTGGGACTTAAAAGAATGCTACATCAAACACTTTTAGACTACTGTGGTAAAATGCATTTTGTTAAAGACTACTGTCTGAATTGAAGCACTTAAAAAACTATGGCCTACTAATCAAAAATACTCACAAATATAGTGGACAGTTTGATGATGGACATGAGGGCGGGGTTGGCAGGCTGGGAGAATGGGGCGAAGGGTTAAAGAAGTATAAATTAGTAGTTGATAGTTGGTCACAGAGATGGGGAGCATAGCAGAGGGAATGCAATTAGCATTAATATGATGGCTAGGTGGAGGGCCATGGGAGGGAGAGAGAATTGGGGAGATTGTTTTATGAACTATATAGATGTCTAACCAATGTAGTGTATACTTGAGACTAATTTAGATAGATGGATAGATAGATAGATAAATGGCCTGGTTCATTCTTCTTATTTGTATTCTACTTCATTTCCCCTAGAAACGAAACCTCCCCAAATTAAAATGATAAAAATGTTTTAAGTTAAAAATTTTTTTTGAACTTTTTTCAAAAAGTCTGTGGAAGCAAGTGCTTTTGTGCCCATTCACGTTTGATTACTGCTTATCCATTTTACTATATTCTTAATTAAAAAGAGATGAAATGCTGACCTTAAATATTATAGGTTTTTAATGTGTTTAAAAATCCTTCAAAGACTTCGTAAGAAAGAATTTTTTTAAGTCCTCCTTTGAGTAAAACTTTGGACAGTATGATAATGAGAACTAAATTGTTTTAATTATCTTTAGTTATTTACTTAAGTTAGAGAAATTTTTCTTCAAATTTGAATAGGATCTAACTAGTTTACTTACAGATAAAAATGGATTTTTAAAATGTAAGTCAACTACAGCATAAATTCACTGACTATAAATACATTAATATTGGTGGCTTGGTTTAAAAGTGTAAAGAAAAGCTATTTTTGTCTTATCCAAAAGAATAGGATAGCTTTACCTTTTCTTGAAGCCTAAGTACTTGATTTTTACTGGAACAGGTCTATTCTTGTTCTTAAAGCAGTATGCTATATATTAAAAATGTTAGTGAGTACTTCTCATTCAGAGTAATCTCAGTTGGCTGCCAAGTACAGACTTTCCAGAGTTTCATTTTCACTAGAAAGATTCTATTTGAGGATATTATAAAAATGGTTTCTTCTACAAGAACAAAGCTAATTAAGGTACTCTCTGAGCAAAGCTTGGCCAAGTTTTATGTCACCATTTTCTAAAATTACCTTTGACTCAGCTGTTCATAATTATATTAAGCTAAAAAGCTTTCTTTTTATAAATCATCAAAAAAGGTTTTCTCATGATACAGCAGACAGCTTTTAAATACTAGATGGAACCATAACATAATTTAGCAAGTATATTTTTCTAATATACATATTATTTTGGCAACCATTTCCTCTAATTTCAGCTAATACGTCAGTGATTAAAAACTTTCAGTTACATGTAATACAACTATCTTA